TACTTTACTGAAGACTACATTTGTATAAATTCTGTGTTTATATATTTATATCTGTACCTATACCTATATCTTTCTTCGAAAATCTGGGTGACAAATTTTTGTTAGCTATTAATAATCAGAAGTAGTCAACTTTGCAGGCAGTTAAATCTCCGTGTTGAATACTTTGTTGCAATCTTCAGGATTTAATTTTGTTGAATGAAGTGTATTAATATCTTTGACATATAATTTTCTTAGCAGATTCTAACTTTTAAAAATGTTAACATCTGTCTTATTATAAACTTTTCTGAACTTTGGCGTTTTGACAAGAAAACACTCTGAGGAAGAAAAAGAAATCTCTCCTTTGTAAGCAACATGAAGCTCCTTTGGAAAAATGCCAACCCTCCCTCGGCATACCTCTCCCTTTCCCACCCAACAGGTCATGAAAAGCTGCCTGGTTCACAAAGACCAGAAGGCACTTTTTATGCCCCAGATTTCAGAAGAGTGTGATTAACCTTCAGTTTACACAATGGGAGCCTGACCTTCAGAAAAGTCCAGTGATTTACTTACGGTCGCGTTAAGAAGCCTAACAGAATAAGGAGCACAACCCTGTCTTAATTTACAGTCCTCCGTTTCCTGCTCTGCTTCCTCAGGGAGTTGTACAATACATGAGGACACTGACTCTGATTCAGTTTTTATTCCAAGCTACAAAACAGACTTTCAACCACCAAGGAGGAAGGTTATGGAGTGTGACCCTGAGACCCGACAACTTCCCTGATAAGGGAGGCAAACCCAGGATCTGCTGCTGGCTTCAATAACTGCTTTTCTGGGAGCCATATTTTTTATTGCAATTGGCAGGCTCTTTGCTCATCGTTAGGCATTTTATGAGCGCCCTGCGAAAGTCTCGCACATATCCAGCACTGCAGGGACATGAAAGGGCAGTGCTTGAGTGTGTGCTGGTGTGTCCACATGTACATAAAGAAGAGCATGTGGAAATGAAGAGCAAGCAGGAGGGATAAGTCAATGGTTATTACCGATTCCTGTGGCCATAATGGAAGGTACACAATTGAAATAGTCTGTGTTTTCACAGAGCTGGCTATTACAAACTTCAATGGTGACAAAGAAAAGTACATAGCTCGAACAGTCTATCTGTACGTACAGAGTCGGTAAAAATGAAGATAAAATCATCTGTACTCAGGGAATCAGATTGTTTTATAAACGGTATAAATGTACTTTGTTTTGAGAGCTTTTCCTTTACTGTTGCTTGATGCAGAGGACAAGGACGGCGGGGCAGCCAGCTTGGAGGTTTCCGACGGTTCTATGAGATCTGCTCTGCGTGACTTGCGAACACCTTTACATGGGAAAGCTTCAAGAAATCGCACCTCACCTTGGACTTCAGAATTATCAAAATACTCCATGTGCCCTAAAAGTTTGGTTCTTTTAGGCCATGTAGATAAGACTTCAAGTTCTACACATTTCCCTGAATCTTACTTATCACTGGAAGCACATTAGATTTGATCTCAGACAGATCATAGAATTTTATAACTAGAAGTGCTCTTTGTGGCCCTCTAACCCAATTCTCTCTTATTTTATAGACAAGTATGCAAAATCCTATTTGAGCACAGAAAAAACAAAAGCCACAGACATGCAAACTTGTTCTGGCATTTTATAAGCTGATTTGTTTTTATTTCTTGTTGGATGAGAAAGAGGAGGGCTGTGAAGGGAAGGAACGGGAAAGGTGATGAGAGCGCAAAGCTTACAGGAGCGTCAGAGGCTCCAGCTCTCATCCCAGAAGTGCCCATGGGTCTCCTGGCCTTGCTGTTATCTAGACTCTATACAAGGACCTCCAGCATATACCAGTGACTTTTCACTGGGTACCATAAGATTAGCTACAGAGTTTTAGCCCTGTATTGCGAAAATAAAAACCAACCGAACAAAAAACATCATTTCGTGCATGATTTTCAACTCCTCAAAGGAGTTTTATACTGAGTTGTTACAACATCCCCATATGGTGTTCACAGTAAGGATCTAGGAAAACAATGGCAATGGTATGGAGAAAGCCGAATACAAATGATTACAACAGCTATCTCAGCTCTTAATGACCCTCAGTTATTTAGATGTATCTATCTTCACGTTTAGTTAGGCTGGACTGTTCTTGAGAACTGGAAAACATATATTCTCACTGAATCAGACACCGCTAACACGTCAGCTCAGATCCTCTCAACCTTTCCTGCTTCCTTGTGTTCACAGCTCTCTGGGGGTCTGGTGGACTTCACGAAGGCACAGCTAGAGTCTCCCCTCATGTCCTTCCTGAGCCTCTGGCCCCTGCCATAGGTTCTCCTGTTGAAGCCAAACGGTACCATGAGATTGTTTGGCAGCCACACATGCACTCTGGTGGGACAATTCTTTCCCCTCTCTGCAGGATGTCTGTGAGATGCACTCTG